GAGGACTGAGACAGACACCTGAACACAACACAGAGGACTGACAGACAGACACCTGAACACAACACAGAGGACTGACAGACAGACCCTGAACACAACACAGAGGACTGGCAGACAGACACCTGAACACAAACAGAGGACTGACAGACACACCTGAACACAGACACAGAGGACTGACAGACAGACACCTGAACACACACACAGGACTGTCAGAAGACACCTGAACACAACACAGAGGACTGACAGACAGACACCTGAACACAACACAGAGGACTGACAACAGACACCTGAACACAAACACAGAGGACTGGCAGACAGACACCTGAACACAACACAGAGGACTGGCAGACACACCTGAACACAACACAGAGGACTGGCAGACAGACACCTGAACACAACACAGAGGACTGGCAGACAACCCGAACACACACAGAGGACTGGCAGACAGACACCTGAACACAACACAGAGGACTGGCAGACAGACACCTGACACAACACAGAGGACTGGCAGACAGACACCTGAACACACAACCAGAGGACTGTCAGACAGACACCTGAACACAACACAGAGGACTGTCAGACAGACACCTGAACACAACACAGAGGACTGGCAGACAGACACCTGAACACAACTCAGAGGACTGGCAGACAGACACCTGAACACAACACTCAGAGGACTGGCAGACAGACACCTGAACACAACACAGAGGACTGGCAGACAGACACCTGAACACAACACAGAGGACTGGCAGACAGACACCTGAACACAACACAGAGGACTGGCAGACAGACACCTGAACACAACACAGAGGACGGCAGACAGACCCTGAACACAGAGGACTGGCAGACAGACACCTGAACACAACACAGAGGACTGGCAGACAGACAGCCTGAAGAGGAGATTATTTCAACAGTGGATACGTTGTCTACAGCCCGTACCAACAACCAGCATTAAGTACCTTGCGCTTAAATATTATTTATCGGGTATAATTATCCAAAATACAATCCTGTAGCCTACTTCAAGTGATTTTATTCAAGTGACATTTTAAATGCAGAACTTTCACTTGTGATTGAGTATTTTTCAGTGGTTGAAATATTTAAACTAAGAACTGTTTCTCGATTGCTATGTCAAGTATACATTTGAGTACTTGTACCTTGCTTTTTTCTTACACCCTTATACTTCTACTCCACTAGCTTGAGTTTACTCTTCAGATTATAAACAGCAAAGCACTGACTCAACATTTTACTGCACGATAACATACTTTTAGATGTGATGAAGTGTATTTACTAATAGTGCCGAACTTTGACTTGTCCTGGAATATTTTCAGTGTGGTATTAGATCTTCTACTGAAACCCTCCCGTCTATTTACGAAGACATCCCCACACACACATACTCTCACAGACAAAACACTCACTCAATCACAGGCTCACACACACACACCACACACACACCACACACACACACACACACACACACACACACACACCACACACACACACACCCACACACACACACACACACACCCACACACACACACACACACACACACACACACACACACACACAGAGTGCTCCCAGTGCTGCTGCCACTATTAAATAATCCTTTAATGCATAAGAGGAGTAGTTTTAGGAGACGGCTTACATGCATAGTTAACCCTGTGCTTCAAATACAATAAGTGATTGAGTGATTGAAGTGTGCATGTTGTCCCCTCCTGATGAGTGAATGAACATCTGCTGCCCTCTGTTGGCTCTGCACACATAACAGACCGTCGTTAAAACACATTGAAACAGATGTAGTGATTGCAACACCTGCACAGATCGTGGTGGAGATGTTAAAATAAGAGTATCTGTTCTGTAGTGCCGTGTGCATGCGCAGAAGATAATCTGAGAGACACCTCGAGGTGAGAGCAGAACTTCAAAGCTGCTGCTGCTGTGAAATGTCACCGAGGAGGTTAAAACTTTGATGAAGAGTTCCCCGCGGTGATGAAGATCGTGGGGCGTCTTTATAGCTTTGATCAGGTTCCTTACTCTGAAAAATAAGGAGACATAAAATGATCAAAGTGCTTCGCTTTAGAGAGCAAGATTCACTCTGACACCGCCTGCATGTATTCACTCTCACACCAGCGATATGGAATCAAGTTCAATACAAAGCATGACAAATAATCAGATTTTCAATAAACCTTTATCAGGTGAGCGTGGGTGGACAACGTCATTTCATTCATGTTGTTATCCTATATTTGTCTTGTTTCGTCTATAAAACGGTGCATTTTGCCATTATTTGGCTGGTGGGTTTTCTGCCTCTGTCTGCACTGTGCATCATTAATGTTGTGTATTTCTTTTAAATTGTTGCCATGACACTTCTCCTAAACCACAACACTCCAAAAAAAAACTTTGCATAGAAAAGAAAAACTCATCGCTCCTAAAACACACACTTTTCCTGCAACATACAGAATCAAACATGGTTTATTATCATTATTAACTTACTTATATATAACTCTTATGTATTCATATTGGAAACCCTTAAAGTCATGCACTTTAGAGTGAAATGTATCTACAGCAGTAAAATGCAACGTACTTTTGTGAATACAGTGTTTTTTCAGCATAGTTTCAGTACTTTTACTGAAGGTATATGGATCTAAATGCATCCTCCAGTACTGCTTAATGCAGTCTAATGACTCTTCTCTGTATAACTCACATCTATATAATGTTTTATTGAATGTAATAATGCACTGCTGCCACCTTCTGGAGTCATTTAGCTCCTACAGTCTCCACATTTCCCTTCCGTTTCTGACCCAGAGCTGCCTCTTTTTGACTGATGTATTTCAATGCATTAGAAGCAGTTTTAGAAAACAGGCTACAAACAGTCTCATGTGTTTCTAATGTAAGACACAGTGGGTCCAAACTGTTCTCAACAACTATTAAATGGATGCTTTTAAATGTTGTTTCGTGTCCTCTGAACTTCAGTATCTCCACATCTACCTGATAGACTTGCAAATGTGTGTACAGACAATAATACACCAAAGCCTCATCCCAATACCCCTCCTCGACTCCTCCTTTCCCTCACTCGCTTCCCTTCCTTGCGTCTTAGCTCCGCCTCCGTAAGATGCGAGCGAGACAAACGAGGAGGTGACGCGAGGACAGAGGAGTCCTCAGGTATTAATTGGGATGTCCTCGTTCACTCAAACGTCACTCTTAAACGACGTCTGTTAATGATGACATGTGCACAGCTGTATCCCCTCTCATCGGGCTTAACTGAATATCCCTTAGAACCGGCCCATTTGTTGTTAAATATTTATTGAAATGAATGAATCTTTTTGTTAGTAAAGGAATTCAATGTATGATGGTTGGTCCTGCTTTTGTGTTCCGTTTTGGTGTAAAATGTAGCCTACATTTAAATAAAAATATAATTATAGTAATGTGAAAGCCTTTTAGAAATGAATTGCACATAATAATTCCCACGGAGCTGTGAGCACTTATACATTTATGTGATGCTTTTCCACTCATCTTCCAGTTGTCGGGGTTCCTCTGTTGAAATGGACCAGCTGTGAAGGTGGGGGCGGGGCTTTTATACGCGAGTAGTGAAACACTTCCGCGTAGTCTGCTCGCATGTATCCTCCCTTTCGTCTCCTCCCTCACCCCTCCTCGCTCACCCCTCCTCGACTCCTCCGTGTGCATTTCAGCTATTGGGATGTCCTTCAAAATGGCATGTCTTGATCGATTTCCGGCTCAAGTCCCGGAGGAGGGGAAGAGAGGAGTCGAGGAGGGGTATTGGGATGAGGCTCAAGAATATGACGGCAGGAGCCATGTATGTTTTCTAATGTGTGTAAAAGGGTGTTGCCGCATTTGGCCACAAGAGGGCAGCATATACACAGTTTCTGAGCCCGGAGGTCAGGTGTTTTAGGGTCACAGGTGAACAGGAAATACATTACATGTCACTTGTTAGACGCTTTTATCCAAAGCGACTTATATACTCAATACTGTGGGCAATTTGGGGTGAAGTGTCTCAGGGACACAAGGACGTGCTGACTGCAGTGGGGTTTGAACCTGCTATCGTCTGATTAGAAGATCAGCGCGTTAACCCACTGTGCCACACGCCTCCCAATACTTTTGAGTGCGCACAGAACACAGAAAGATCACCTCACATCACGGTAAATATTTCTGTCTGGAACATCACTATCATCTGTAGCATTACATGGGATCTTACTTCACAAAATGCTGCTATACTAATAAATGCCAACTCACAATGAAATAGATGTAACTACTTTGACTTATAGGCTACTGTCTGTCAAATGAAGTCGACCACATCAATCCTGTACTGGGTTTGATGGGTTTTTGTCGAACATCTGTACTTTATGTGATTGTAAATGTTTCAACAAGTTGTTTGGTTTTATTTGACTCAACTGCATCATGTTTGACTTTGAGAAATAACGGACAAATGTAATAGAAAATGTTTCTCTTACATCTCCTATTAATCGTGAAAAGAGCGCCATATTCTACGTCCTTTTTCCGGTGCTCCACGTTAGTCCACGATGTGCCCAGTCTGCGTGTCATAGTAATAGCGGTGGTGATGGAGAGGCAACATGTGTCTTTGTTTACTTTTGCACATGTTATACAAGTTATTTAGATTTTTAAAAGACTCAACTGCATGTTTAATGTCAATAGATTTTAAGAAGAAAAACGAACAAACGAGAACAACTTCATGTTTATTAAAAAAATAAGTTATAGCACATTATAAAAAATATGTACGTCATGTTTGGCACTTTTACGAATCGTGAAAATAGTGCCATATTCTACTGGAAGTCCTTTTTTCTGATGCTCGTTGATCCGCCATTTGCCCAGTTTTGCGCATGCGTAATAGTGCTGCTGCTGATGAGGCACCAGCGGGGAGAACATGTGTTTTTGCACATGATTGTAAATGTTTCAACAAGTTGTTTAGATGTTTAAAAGACTCAACTGCATGTTAGATGTCAATGGATTTGAAGAAAAAAACATTAAATATCACTGTTTTTGTAAAAAGAAACGTATTTATTTCTATTTCTATGTGTCACGTCCAAATATTTGAAGAAAAAACGATCAAACGAGAACAACTTCATAGAAAATGTTTATTAAAAAAATAAGTTATAGCATAATTACATTATAAAAAATACGTTAATACATTCAGTCATGTTTGGCACAGCTCTTATGAATCATGAAAATAGTGCCATATTCTACGGGAAGTCCTTTCTCTCCGCAATGTACCCGTCATGCGTAATAGTGCTGCTGATGGAAAGAGAGCGGGGAGAACATGTGGATCTGAGGGTAAAACATCTGGTTACAGGTGAGCGGGGAGAAACTGTTCATGTACCCGTGTTCCTCCTCGTTCTCCGGACCCTTCAGCTGCCGCTCCTTCTTCCTCTTGGTGCGTCTGTTCTGGAACCAGATCTTCACCTGGGTCTCAGAGAGCTGCAGCAGCGCGGAGATGTTCTGTCTCTCGAACACCGACAGGTAGTGGCTGCGTCTGAAGCTGAGCTCCAGGAGGTGCAGCTGCTCCAGGCTGAAGGCCGTGCGGATCCTGCGGCTCTTCTTCGGGCTGTGGAGCCTCTTCCTCCCCAGATATGGAGCCTCCTCACCTTCATCACCTTCCTCCTCTTCCTCAGGGCTGAGGAGATCTCTGCCTTCATCTCTGTGGGGGGGAGATTCTAAAAGGGAAAGGAAATGAATCAGTTAATGAAGTTATCATCCTGTTTTCATTCTGAGAAAGATAAGAGGTACTTTATTGATCCCAAGTTGGGACATGTTTGTGTTGCAGGAGCATGAAAAGATAAGGCATTGTACAATACAGACTAGAAATAGCAATGATAATATATAATAATAATAACTGATGCTGCTATAAACGCCTGCATTTCCCCAAGAGGATAAATACAGTTCCATCTTATTAAGTAATATCTAACTCATATCTACAGAGGTGTAATGTACAGGTCAAGGTATCTCCTAAGTATAGAGAGGCGAAGTCCCTCCCTTTCCTCCATGGGACCTTATTTCTGATAAAGTTTGTATTGAAGTCGATGGAGAGAGAAAAGCTATCTTTCAATCCCGTTTGAATTGAGCCACGAATTACACATATGATGTTTGTCAATTTAAAAGATAATTTTGAAAGTCAAAAAAATCAAAATGAGTCGTCAAACTGTGAAGTAACGCTTTGTTTGTGTGAAACCGCTCAATGAACTACATCTCCCGTCTCGCTCCACACACCCAGACGGCTGTCACGTTGGAACATTTCACTTCTTTCTCTCAGAACGAGGCGGAAAGTATTAAAAGAGGTGAAAATCACTCCAAGTCTGGGCACGTTGAGAGCTGTGCACACACACAACGGGAGTTAGTCGGTTCCTGAGAGCCAGCATGCGGGACCGGGACTCTGGGATTTGTAGTCTTTCTAGTTGCGTATTTTTCATAGTCTTATATTTCAACAGTTTTACGACAAACTGCATTTTTTGACACGGAAATGATTTTTTAAGATTTAAGAATAAGGTCCCATGGGGCGGAAGTAGATGGGCGGGAACACAATAGGTACTATTAACATATGAATTAATTATTAGATCAGTTAATGAAGTTATACAGTATTATATCTACAGAGGTGTAATGTACAGTCGTGAGCTGTTGTATTTAATAGAGTCCAACATGAATTTTGTGCTAAATAATTTCATATTTTAAAGATTAAACCCAATTGTATTGAATTTATTTGTATTTGATTTAATTTGTATACACTATAGATGTATTATTATTTGTTAAAGATTATTATTATTATTATTATATGTAGTTAATTTTGGAGAAACCAGCTCGAGATATCTAGAATTTGAAAGTACACAGCCGAAAAAAATCTGCCCCTTCCTTCAGACTTCCTCACAGAGCCCCTCCTCCAACACACACGCGCACATGACCAATGAGGGCACGAGATAAGTTTGTGCACAGATGGAAGGCTGACAGGCAGGTAGGCCATCCAGTTACTTTAGCCGGCTCAGATGATTCCAGAGATGATATTTTTTATGGATTTATTGTCAAAGCATTTAATATATTCATTGCTATCGGGATGTTAAGAGCATTCCATGGAATATAACAAGTGTTTCTGAAGGGAATTACCTACCCCACCTTTAAGTAAGAATATGAATGCATGACTTTTTACAATTTAGTGATGCTTTAAAGCAGGGGGGTCAAACTCATTTCATCACGGGCCACGTAGGAATTATGGTTGCACTCAAAGGGCCGGTTGTAACTTTAAGACTATATAAAAATACATATATAAATATTTAATATATATAAAATAATGCATTATATGACATGATTGCCTCTGCATTGGATTATTATCTGATAGGGTAATAACTTCATAATTAACTACGCCTGAAAGCAGAAGTCTAGGGCAAGTAATTGCAAGTCTCTTCAGTGAGAATGTCACATTTTTTTTTAAAGAAAAGCCAAATTCTGGAAAAAAAAGTCCAAAAAAAAAGAAGTTATATTTTAAGAAAAAAATTCAAATTCTGAGAAAAAAGTCAAATTTGAGATGCATTGTGGGACATGTAGTTTATGGGCAACGTGCTTCTGTAAATCGCCATGTAATCGTATAATAAACATATTATATTCTTTCAGAGCTCTTGTGGGGCCACATGAAATGAAGTCGCGGGCCGGATTTGGCCCCCGAGCCTTGAGTTTGACACCCCTGCTTTAAAGGCTTTCTTGTCATATGCATCATAGCTGCAGTGTAGTTTTTGCAATAAAAGTAGAAATACAAATAAAATAGTACAGGAGAATTGTGCAGGTAAACACTAAAACATCACCAATTAAGGATCAAAATCTAATCTTTACAAAGAAAGCATTTAAAATGAAATAGTGTGCAACTCTTCCTCCAACTCTGCATAGTTTGAACACTTTCTAAAACTATTTCTCACCTGTTGAAGTTTCCTCCTCTGCACAAATACGTCTTCTTGTAAATTTCGCGGGGTCTAAAATGTCCTCCACAGAGAAAGATGTCCTCCGGGTCAGTTTCGCTTCTTGCTTCATCTTCAGGATCAGTTTCAGTTCTGCAGGTACCTCTCATCTCCTCTTCTTCTTCACCCTTTATATAACAGCCTCTGCACACGCCACCATGCACATTAACATGTCACTGAAAAAGACCCGGATGTGTATTGTAGAACAATCGTTTCTCTGACACGCTTTTACCCGAAAAACACTTCAAAATGCAAATGCTTTCTCAGCTGGAGCCGTTATTTATTGCGGTGCATCTGTTGGAAATGTTCCTCCTTTCTTCCCCCTCGTGTCTCTCTTTGTTTCTCCGCTTGTCATTATTTGGAAATGCTTGATTTCCCGCGGGTAGGACACGTGAACGCGTCTTGTGATGCTAATTGATGGACTCCTCAAAGGGAAAGTTAAGAAGCCTTTCTCTCCTCTGTTGATCCCCCACAAAGCACCGCGGTTTAATGATAAAGCCACTAACAAGTTTATGAGCATCTGATCCTGCAGTAAAGAGGGGGGGTGGGGGGGGTCAACATTTAAACTAATAGATATCACAATGAAACTTCATCACTTCATCACTGACATTAAAGCAAGTCTTTTTTGTATTGCAAGGTTTCTTAAATGTTGCGTTTAGATATGCAAATGAGGCATTGTGTTATTACAAATGTGTTCATTTGCATATTTCCCAGAAGAGACATGTGAACTTATATAAGGCCAGGTTCTTGTTTTATTTATATATTAAAGGTAAAGGTTTATACAGATGTTTGTATCACTCCATACATCAGAAATACTGCCTTTAAAACAAATTGTCTGCATGTTGTTAGTGCTAAAGCGAGTAGAAAGTAGAGTGTGAATATAGAGAGGAATGAACCTGGAAAGTGTGTTGTGTGTGAGTGCTATGGTGGAGATGGGAACACATTTAGATATGAGCCATTATCTTACTAAATATGTGTTCATTTGCATGCATTTCCAGAAGAGACATGTGTTGATAAAGTCTAAAGTCTAAAGAGTCTTGCTTTATGTTGTTGACATATTAGAGTCAATGTTTTATATCTCTTTGTATCACTCCATAAATCAGAAATGATACCTTTTTAGACGCATTGTCTGCATGTTTTAGTGCTCAAGTGTGTGTAAACATTGTTGGAAGAAGTAATCAGACCCTTGACTTAAAGGTCACCCATCATGCTAGGTCTCAGATATATACAGATATATGAAAAACATGTCTTTGAAGTGTTTTGCTCCAAATACCAAACAGATCATTCTAGCCATGCCTCATATCCCTCTATTTCACTTCCTGTTTCTAAAGTGCTGATTTGGGTATAAAGCTTTAAAGAGGAGGGGTCTGAGCTCATGCGGGACCCGGCAGCTACTGCAGCTACTGTCTAAACTAAATGCTGCCGTGATGAAACGCCATATCATGGATTATCAAGGATTCTCTCTGAAACAGTTTGGAGCTCAAAGGCTTTCTCTCTTGCCGGTTATACCACAAGGTGAGTTCCTTTTTACTTCCTGCTTCTTCACACACATGCTCTCCAGTACAGGTTAGCTCTGAGTGTTAGCCATGCTAATGTAAACACCGACCATATTACGTCCAAAACAGTCGGGCATTGTTTCTGATAGCAACGTTTCTGATTGGGCCGTGGGTCCACATTTCAGATATTACGTCATATCGGACGCAAATCTGGATCAGCTCCGTTGTTCCCCGTTTTTAGAGATTTGGGTACGGAGGAAAAGAGAGAGGGTTTTATTTCCTGATGCTGCGTGAGTTCCCCGACGCACCGGGGACACATGGTGATGGAGAGAAGACATCACAAAGTGCATTTTGCATGATAGGAGACCTTTAAGTAAAAGTACAAATACAAAGTCTTAAAATACTCCACTTCAAGTAAGTTGTGATTACAAAATTCTTAAGTATTATTATATCAAAGTTAAAATACAAAAAGTAAAAGTACTCTGAGAGATATAGAATCTTTGGACTTATAGGAGGACCTTTAAACAGTTTTTCATGTTAATTCATTTAAAAAAGTCCCAGAGTATGAATGGAAAATGACTCCTTACAGTAAAGAGGCTCATCAGCTGTAAAAGTAAGCATTGTGCAGAAACATTCAGGTCACAGTTGCATCTATAAATACACATTATTTGATACCGTGAGATAATACAACTGTGTGGACCATGACATCAAATACAACGCCAGTAAGAGTGCTGTCATGATCTTTAGAACCAAAGAGGATAAATGTCTAAAATGTCCTGATTTTAAATTGTCTGATATTAATCTTAGTGTCTGTAATAAGTTAAAATATCTTGGACACTTTATTACAGAACAAATGAGATGATGAAGATATTTATAGGCAATGCTGCATGATGTGCACAAGCAAACATTCTCCTACGTGAGTTTAGTGCATGTACAGATGGAGTGAAGATGTCTCTGTTCAGAGCATATTGATCATGTAAGTGTATTTCAAGTGTACTATGTATTAATGTAAGCAGCAGCAGGTCTCCAAGGTGAACAGCCTCTGGCATGTTAGATCAAGGTATGTAAGGGAAGTCGGCTAAAGCTGCAGATCGGGTAGTGACAGCCACTGTCACTACCCGATCCGTCCCCCTGCCCGATCTGCAGTGCGCATGTGCGAGATGGTCCGCCATATTGGACAACTCCGGACGGCAACCCAAGATGGACACTTGACACAGTGGCTTTTAGCAAAGCTCAAAAATAAAACGAGAGAGAGATGAGTTATTGTTATTACAACGTGACTTCACTATTATTTAACAACTCTTTTTATTGGGTTCTTTTATTTGGGGTTAAGTACATTGTCAGAATAAGTGAGGAATTAATTTAACTTCTGTTAGACAGCTTTCATACTGAATAAATATTTACTGTGAATGTATGCAAACATGTATGGCATATGGCTGTCTAACAGAAGTTAAATCCATTTCTCACTTATTCTGACAATGTACTTAACCCCAAATAAAAGAACCCAATAAAAAGAGTTGTTAAATAATAGTGAAGTCACGTTGTAATAACAATAACTCATCTCTCTCGGTTTTTATTTTTGAGCTTTGCTAAAAGCCACTGTGTCAAATGTCCATCGTGGGTTGCCGTCCGGAGTTGTCCAATATGGCGGACCATCTCGCACATGCGCAGTACCGATCGGGCAGGGGGACGGATCGGGTAGTGAAAGCCACCCTTAAAATGTTAAAAATGTACTTATTGTCGTTATCCATTATATCGAAGTCTACTTTCCCCAGGTGCATTACTTCAAATTTCAGTGGTACTTTTGCATTAAGCATTTTTACCATATAATTGTGGGCCTGAGTCCAAAGAGGGATTATGGATGGACATTCCCAGAACAGGTCTACAAGCTGTTTTAAGAAATCTCATGTATAAATGTATTTGCCGGCTTAATGACTCATAATGAAATCCTCTTGGCCTTATCGAACATAAGGCTTAGTACACGCTACCAATCGCAGCTGTGGAGACATTGGTATAGTTGTCTCTTTGTAGGACACTGATTGAAATTATTCTTAAACTATGAATTCTTTTTATGCTGGGTATGTCATTTATTATATGTAATGTCTTGTCTTTTATCTGGACCTGAGTCTGTATTAAAGTTTTCATTCAATAAATGAGAGAAGCAGAAGAAATCGGTTCTGGTAGAAAATCTGTTTTATATCTCAGACTTTTTTCTTTAGTTTCTTAGGAATTATAGGATGCTTTCTCTTCATCTGGAGAACGCTTGGCTTTTTGACAGATTTCCAACATAGTGAATAGAAGTAATGACTGCCTCGTTACTCTTCATGTTTAATGACCAGCTTCCTCGGTTCAATCTCCCTCCATTAACTTCACAATTCAGGTAACAGTCCCGTCTTTAGACCCACATTATCGCTTATAGTTTCCTAATACCCTGAGGGGAGAGGGGGGGGTCTCTGGGGTAGTAAATGATCCTGAGGCGGGGGTCAGTGATGAAGAAGTAAAGAGATGAAGATGGCAGCTGCCGGGTTGCAGCGTCCTGCAGAGAGGAGGCCGGGCAGAAGGACAATTAGCAGAAGAGAAGCTGAGTCTGAACTCTCTGACCTCTGCTTTGTTCCTGCAGGACAACGGGAAGAGGATGGGGGGGGAGAGAGATGATGAAGAGGTGATTGGGAAGAGAGGATGAAGAAGAGTTGATGAAGATGTGAAGTAGTTGCTTGGTGCGCAGCGGTCTCCAAACTGTGGCCATTTTGAATGGGCCCTCAGCTAACTCAGAAAGTGCAGTGGAGTACGGCCCACAGGTGAAACTTGTGCTTGTCTTATATTGCACTTCTTAAATGTATATGTATAAATACATTACACAGTGTTCATGTGTTAACAAGAACACTTTTCAAATGAATTCAGTCAGTTCAAGTTGGAAACATGTTCTAACAAATCTTAGTCGATAAGAAAAAAGCCCAATGACTTCACAAGCTTGAAATCTACCCTTCATATTTCCCCTTATTATAATCAATCTGTTTCATGGAATGAGCTGCTAACAGAATTAATGAAACCCTCTGGAGAGCTGGGAGCTGTTTTTCAAGTATCAAAATTCTATCCTGTGTTAAAGGATAAAACCTAAAAGGTCTTGTAACTAATTTCCCAGCACTAGCAATGGTATGACTTGCTTGAAGTGAAAATATCTGCACTTTCCTTGTTGTAAACGTTTGAATCTTTATGGTTTTATTTTGTTGTTGCTTTGGATAAAAGCGTCAGCAAAATAAAATGTAATGTAAATATAATGTTATCAAATACACATTTGGTTTCGAT